GTGTGAAATGAAACGAAATAAGAATCTTCCAAGAACGTCGACAAGAAAGTGTAATAGCTCGATATCTTTCATGCAGCTGAGAAGCTTTATCTATTTCGTTATTAGTAGTCATCAACCACATCTCTGGGCGTAAGACTTGTCTGACTCAGTTCTTTCGTTCAGTTACTGGAGCTTCTTAAATACACTCACTAACCATGCTACTAGCCTTTCCGAAAGCTACACGAACTAGCCAGAACTGTATTGTACATTTGCCCAAGGTTATTACATGACCTACTGATGCGTAGGATCCAACATAATACGTGTGAAGTATGTGACGAACAACACAACCACTAAGCTATGCCGTCTAATTCCTGCCCAGCCGATACGAATCTCATACCCCCACATCATCATTAACCCAATTGCCGAGCAGAACTACTGTAACCAACAATGCATCATAGTTTATCCAATTGATTTAATTGAACAACTGAATCCATTGAGATGTATTCCTTTTTGAACGTTGAGATGAAACGATGTATACACTAATTTGGGACACATTTCACTTATTTGTGATTTATTAGAGTGCTTCTCTACCTCCCTACATGATCTTTAAAATATCTTTGTCGCGTAGTAATTTTTTCGAACTCCATTCTACACAATAAATAATAGTTTTCGGGCTCTTTTCTAATTTTATCCATAATATGAGAGATAAAGAGTCAAAGAAACTATTATCTTCCCGTCTAAGTATCGCTGAAAACTGATCCAGATATTTAGAATTTTTTACATTAATGTGTAGATAATCAATGATCCTACCAGCCTCGGTAGTAGCGATCTTTCTGTAACTAATTTCTTCTTTTTGATTATTATTGATAAATCAATAAATGTTTGTATGGAGATACTGCTTTTCACAGTTAATATGTACTTTCACAGAAAAGTGTTTTTATACTATCATCCTCATAAAATAAATGTCAAACTGCTTCCGAAAATTTTATTAGCTGATACTAAAAGGAAAAGTATAAAATATCATTTTAAGGATGTATTATGAAGTTGATTAAATGATAATAACTGACTCTTTCGTCATTATTCTCTTCATATTGTTGAGAAACAAGATGAGTAAGCATGAAAACTGTCTCGTTTCTAACTGAAATGCTTTTATATGTAAAAGAAGAATGTTGAAGTATATTAATGTCGATTCGAATGTAATCTGTTTAGAAAATTTCTTAGTCATGTAGGGTAGGTGGAAAACTTGAAAATTTAAAGTATGTAGAATACCTTCGGGTAATTCCGATCAGTACTTAAATTTTTTTCGTATTTTTGATATCATATATTTCAGAACAGAAAAAACTGCTGTGTTGTACAGGCAGACAGACATGACTCTCAGTTATCGATTGATGTAAAAATCTTCTCAAAATTCATTAAGGTTAGTTAGTTTGATGCGTTTTTTCAATGCTATGTCAACGATTGATCGGAATTATCCCAAGGTACTTTATATGTTTAATTCTCTACTTATAAATATGACCTGGAGTTACAGATAGTTATGTCAGAGAAAACAAATTCTTTCGCTATTTTCAAAAACACTAAAATCAGTCTACATCTATGCACACTTTCTCTAGTTTACTTGATTATCAACTGTGGTGTATATATGCATCGACCATGAAGCATCATGTGCCGAGAAAGATATAAAATGACTTAAATACATCGAGGAAAAGAAAAAAAAGAGAGCAAAACAAAATTAAGAATATGTATGTATGATATCGTTTGTGCATATATGACCTTTGTCTTTTGTGGATGTTCAACGTTTTCTATAGATGGAATTGAGCCGGCAAAAATACAATTTGTGCAGCTGTTCTTTTTTATATTCAATCAGCAGAGAAAGAGAAAAGAAATGAAAGTGCACGAAAAGATAAACTCTAGAATGATTTGAAATGTGTACAAATCTATCGATTGTTTGTCTACAATGCTGTAAAGATATAGGGAAAAAAAATTTACTCAGTCATACAGAATACGAATAACATTAAGAATCCACGTAAGCATTTACCAATTTCCGCGCATATTATCACATTTTCTCTATATATATGTATATCGGTAAGAGATATTTTAACCTCTAGTTTCTTACCTTAAATTAAAGTTAAGATTACAAGCTACTATTTTAGCCGGTGAGAAATGGTAGGGGAGCCGAGTTTATGTAGAAAAATGCATATTCACCACTAAACTCAAATATCTTAAGAAAGGCAGCTTAGTCAAAAAAAAATCTGACGTCGTCTTATAGGTCTTAATCTGATAGATCGAAATCAGGCGTTTGGTCAAAATCACTTAAGATGCTTAGCATAGAATTTCTATAAAAATTAGAGAATCTCAAAAGATTTCTTCAGTGAGTGGATCTTGTCAGATCTATTCGCACTTTCGCTTTTACTATATCCCAAATTGCTTGCGCCTGTATCCATGCAGATGAGAAAAGCCGTTCGAGGGATGTGGCGAGTACTCGAAATAGCCCTCGAACAAGTGGTATGTAAGACGACTATGGCCGATAGTTCTCTTTTCTACGGATCGCAGTTTAAAAGTAAGAAAAAAATCTATATGTAAACATGTCTAGTTCATTTAAAATGGACGTAAACAAAACAAAATAAAAATCTTTTTAGACTAAAAAAATATGAGAAAAATATTTTGCGTTTCAAAACCAGTCTTGACAAAAAAATGACAACGACAAAATGAAACTACACAGCAATCACGCTCTACGAGACTTGCGAATGCGGTGCGAAGCGAAACATTGTATCACAAGTATTCATCACGTAACTTTCTAGTAAATCAGCTTTGTCCTCGGGCTGAACTACGAGTCAGCTTCTACAATTGCATAGTAGTCACTTTTAACTATCACTCTATTCATTATTCGAAAGGTAACAATGGAACTAATTATAAGATGACTCAATTATCATATCAATCACATGTACGTAGATAATGACGTAAATCAGCTGTTAATGCAAGTCTTTAGCTTCAACACACATTGCGCCTGCATACTGTTAGATTAATTATCGGTTTTTGGTGAAAAATTTATAAGCCCCAGATTTCAAACGACCTATTTTTAGAAGCTGTAGCAAAAAGACGAAACAAAAAAGTCTCAGGATCGCTCATTCCCACATCCAACCAGAGGACAATATACTCGTTTTTCAATTTTTCAGATAGCACTTATAGTTCTCGAGAAAATCGTTACAGAAAGTAACACCTTTTGCGATCTAAGGAAAAGCTAGACGGCAATCACGCGACGCGAGACTTGCGAATAAGATGCGAAGCGGGACACCGACAGTTAGACTTTGCAGTGAAGTAACACATTTAGTACATTATTGATGGATAAATGATGAATTATATTGCTTTGAATCAGTTGTGAAAACATCTCTGCACAACAATGTAGATCAATTCTGTATAATCACATAGCAATCCTTTTTCCTATCACTACATTCATTATCTATAATACAGCAATGCATGTAGCGGCTGTGGTATAACAAAGATTGATTTATAATAGCAATCACATATATAGATAATGAAGTGAATAACACTGCATTTGAGATCAGTTGGCAAAAGTAACATTGCACTATAATGAACATCGCGCCTGTCAACTGTTAATGAACTCAGATCAACTAGCATTTTGTTGAAAATTTTTCAAGTCTGCGATTTTCAATCGACCTATTTTTGGATGCCCTACAAAAGAGACAATACACTCAGAAAGCCTGTAAAAAGGACATTCCCATATTCAGCCGGAAGACTCACTTTTTAACTTTGACACGTACTTCTAATTGTTGAGAGAATCGTTACCGAAAATAATACAACTTGTGATCAAGATAAAAAAACGCCGACTGTTACTAGAATGCTGTTTGCTTCGCACCTCATTAAAAAAGAAAGTATATAGATAGAAATAGATACCACGACTAAAGAAAAACAGTAGGAATAACAAACCAGTACCGAAATTACAGTCAATAAAAAGCATGACACTCAGATCCTTAGATAGAATATTCTTATCGCTGTAGAGGTTCTATTTGGATTTGTTTTTTCGTGTCGCTCTCATATTTTTATATCCTCTATATATAGGAATTTATTTGGAAAATGTTCCAGCTTACCCAATTAAAGCGACTGCCAACGTGATGCCGACTTGGCGGATTGGGTCTATCTAATTTAATCTTTTTTTTCATTTAATTCTCTGAATGAACTGCCCCGCGAAAAATTGCCGGTATTACAGAAGTCTCATCAAATTTTCATGTCTTCAGTTTGTACATCGATTGTTATGCAGATTTGTTTTTATAGGAAATTAACCGATTTTGTAGCTCGTATTGTCATCTCCAATTTACGATCAAGAACAAGAGGTTATGCTATTTCTTACGTAAGGCAGATCTATATATATATAGAAAATTTAAGCTAAATCTAAGTTATCTGTACTGCAGAAGTTTGTCCGTGTTTATGTGAACTGTATCTCTTGATATTTATTTTGTTTTGTCTTTTTTCTTCTTTTTCTTTACATGCTTTTCTATACTACTCTAATATAACTTAGATGTCATATAGTGGTTCCCTTCTTTTTTTTCCGCTTAAAACACCAGACAGTTTGACACAGACTAAACAGCAATAAAATAAAGAGAGAGAATGAAGAGAATAAAGAAATAAACTAATCATAATCCATGTAATAAGTATGAACGTAGGGTACACTTGTTTTTTGAAACACGCAATTGCGCAAACAAACGTGATGAAATATCTATGTAGAAGTTACGATTTTTTCATCTTTCTGATTGATTAGATGAGAAAATTTATAGTTTTTATTTTATCTTGAACTCATGAACAACGAGCTTATAGTTTTTAAAGTGGATTAAGTGTGTATGTATGTCACATTGTTTATTATATAAATAATTTATAGTTTAAATGATAAAAATATTTCATTGTTTCTTGTCATACGTTATTTAATCAGTAATCAGCGTGTTTTTTAGACATAGTATTTATTATATCTATATATATCTATATATATTATATCTGAACACGTTTCCCGTATGTTTACATTTAAAACTAAAAACAAATCAACCAAAGCATCGAAGAAGGAACAACAACAACAACAGTCACTGACTCTTCTATCAACTACAACATCAAATAGTGATCATAACAATAACAATCACAACCAGAATGAATCACAAAAAATATTACATAATGTTCCCAGTGTATCAAAAATCGCACCAATTCCATCGAATCAGTCCAGTAGTGTTTTACCGATCTTAAGTTTGGACGGACGAGATTATGCTCATGCGAATAATACAAATAATGATAATGATAACAACCGTGAACAAACAAATGGGAATCATTCATTACCGGTGAGAGGATAGAGTACGAGTTCAAGTTCGGTTTTAAGCACGATGAGTGATTCTTGTACTTTAATTGTCTTTGCGTGCTCTTCGCTTACTTCTTCAAACCTTCACTTATACTAATGTTATATTATTTTGTCTTATATCAACACACTGCCTATAAAAGTCAAAGGCAGTTCACTTTCCATTTCCTCTTTTTCTCGTTAAATATTAACGATTGTTTTCTAATGTCTAATATAAAATATTATTTCCTGAATCACCGGTCTTGTTTCTTCTGCTGTTAATGTTTACTGTGATGTATTCATTCCTGCCTGTGTAATTTAAATATAATAAGTTCTCCTGATACAGATTTGAATATTTTAACCCGCACTAGCAAGACCGAAGTAATATTAGTACTAATAATCGTGTAAGAGTTCACTTGGCTGCTATAGACTACGTCTTATTTATTGCATCCACTATCGTTGTTGACTTGGGAACTTGAGAATATTGATTTAATGGGGCAATTGATCCCTAAATAACGGATCTTTTATCACTATCCAACACATGTTACCTTGTCAGCGTCAATTTTTTCGTTATTTAACATAAACATCTGACAGTTTCTGTTTTTTAATTTGATTTTTATTAAAGTATAGATGGGGTTAATATTAAAAATGAAATTTTTTCAACTGTAATTAACTCATATGAACATAGTCTTTGTGTCAAAAACAGCTCAGCCTCCGGCCTATATTAGAACGTACGCATTTGATAGTAATATAGTTGTTGGTTATTCAGGACATTTACAGCACATCATCCTTAATGATTTGAAGCATACAATTATAGTTCATCTCTATTCTTTGTAATATTCGATTCAATAACTTTCTCTTTTCTTTTAATTTAGCATCGAACATGTTTAGATCCAACGACAAGAAGACAATACTCATATTCTCAAAGTTCAGTGCTTTCTGATACAAGTAAGTCTCAATTTTACATCCTTATTTTTTCCTCTATTATTAGTCATGTGTATGTAATCAGATGATCAACTTCCTCCGATAATATAGAGGGCAAGAAAGAAAGAACATAATTTAATATATCTAACCTAAGTACAAAAAAAATATAAAAAGAAATATAAAATCTAATCGTTAATTGATGTATTGTCAACACATTAATTAATCACCTAATGCTGCTTTATCTCAAAAGGCGCCGGAGTTAAAAAAACAAATTATATTACCGTAACGCAACATGGTTGTCCTTCGTTTGGTTAATAATCATTCGCTCAAATAATTAGTTTACCTAAATAATCAACCCAAAGTATTTCCAGTAATTGCTTTCTTCTTGTGTAGCAGCGAAGGAGTATAGATCATAGTCTAAATCATTTTTAGTTATAAGTTGGTGGGATGGAATAAAAGAATCTTTTTATCGTGTACCGTGTTAATACGCTCATTTTCAGCTAATGAGGAAACCATTTCAGGTGTCCGACTGCTTTTCTAACGAAATGCGATACTTTACCTTTCTTTGCAAAGTTATAGAATTCACAAGAAAAGCCCTAAATGTTTATTGTCAGCTCAGAGCTGCAGAATGAAGAAGGAAAGATGAATTTAGGCCTTGTCTTGTGAATTCTATAACTTTGCAAAGAAAGGTCGTGTAGAGCTGGGAGATGTCTCATTTTAATCAGAGTTTTGCAGGCTACAGTCGTAACCAGTTTAGAAAACTCTTGGGGATTTTTCGAGCTTTTTCAGAAAAATCAGTTTTCCAGAAACCGGTTAGGAAAGACCTATGGGCAAAAACGGCTATCATATTCGGAATCAGCATGGTCGATTACCTGTAAAGTACCGCATTTCGTTAGAAAAGCGGTCGGACACCTGGAAAGATTTCCTCGTAAGTATTTTCTTATGATGAGTAACAGCTGGAATAAAAGAGCGTACATTCGATTTTTGGCTAAATGTCCGTCTCGATGCACACGACGCCTCCTCCGTGATTGCACTAGCACACTGAAATTTCATCACGCTTTTCTATCTTGCACTTTCTATGTGTTCTCAGGGAAGATGTAACGTAGCTCTCTAGTCTTTTGATTCGTAGAATGAATTCCACCGAGTATTTCTCTACCATTTTTAGCTTTGTACAATATATGGAGAATACTTAGAGACAGTTTAGTAACTTGATTTGCAAAATCCCTTAGTATTCCTGATATGTCGGTAAATCTGAAGGTCGTGAATAATGCAGAATCTGCAAAACTGTTCAATTCAATTCATTCTGCAAATCAAAGAGCTACGTTGGATCTCCGTCAAGAACACATAGGAAGTGCAAGACAGAAAAAAAGCGTGACAGAATTTTACTATGTTAGTATACTTACGTTGCTAGTTTTCCTCTTATGCATGATAATCATAAGTATCAGACATACTATTACGAACTAATATGCTGAAGAAAAAAATTCCAATTATTCTATCAGGCATGGGCGAGTCCGAGCCAAGTCCGAGTTCTTGCAAGTTCAAACCGAGTCCGAGTCCTTAAAAGTTCAAGCCTAATTTGCTGAGGCATAGATAGATATTTGATTTTTCGAAAATAAGGGTACGTTCCATGTCCGTCTCCCGAACAAAATTTTCAATTTCATTGTGAAACAGTAGGTGTTGTTATTTCGCTTTTCATTTTTCTCTACTCATTTGTGTTGAAGGTTGAATAGATCGGACTCGAAATACAAAAGCTCAAGTCCAAGTTCACCAAAAAATCTTCCAGTCCGGACTCGGACTCGCCCATGCCTGTATTCTACGTATCAATATTTTCACACTTATATGCCAGCAAGAATATAAAATAAAACTGTGATTCAAGAATTATCAAGATCGTGACTTTATGAAATATCTTTTTTTACGTCTTCTTATCAAGATCTACTTGAAAAGATTTAAGAAGTATCATTAAGATTATAGGTAGGTATTACATCATTCAATGGTTCAAGTATTTATTTTCCTCACTATATTTTCTATAGATAAGAGAGTACAAGTATATACTCGTAATCGAGTACAAAATTTCTAGTACTCATACTAAGGGTTTTTTGTAACGGAGTAGTATTCCAAAAAGTACCCGAGTATCTCCCCAAAAACTGGTGACGTTTTTTTACACTAGTTACGTATCAAAAAATCGATTTTTTCGATATCACCAACTTCTTTTGAAAAATTTTATACTCGAATACTTTTCAGAAAATACTCGTACTTAGAATTCCGTATACTCGTCCATCTCTGGTATTTTCCATGTTACATTGCTGTTTTCCCATATATTTGATGATACGCCTCTTCCAGATAGCCTTTTATTTTCAAAGACTTTATTTTTACGATTCTTTTATTGATAAACACATCACCACTAATCTGAAAAGATTTCCTTATTTTGGTTCTATTTCAAAGTAATCTAAATTTGATCTGTCTTATCATTCTTATTATTTTCTAGTTCATTTTATTTACGTTTTTACTTTATCTCTAAAAAACGGAAAAAAAAGAGAAATCAGGTTTAATCAACATTAAGGTTTTGCGCAAGTTTTGAATAAAAAGAGACAGAAAATGCGAAAGTAACACAATTTTTTCCTTTTTTTATGTTAAATAAAACAAAGAAAATAGTAGAAATTCTATAATTGTTCTTTACAATTTTTTTTCTATTTGGTTGTGGAGTAAAAACGACTTTAGATAGTTATACGCATTGAGTCAAGTTAAAAGATCATTTAAAATGATGACAATTTTTAATTTGTCGTTAGAAAAAAATAATGCAGCCACTACTCGGTTACTAGTACCACAGGAAAAACATGAGCATAATCAAACTAGTCGGCATTTAAAATATATGCAAAAGAAAAATCCATCAATAATTGTTTCACGTAAGTTTACATTTGTTTGACATCGATAGAGACTTTCTATGAGAAAAATAGTCTATTTAAAATTATTCTCTTTGACTGTGTTGTTTTTTTGATTACTGTACTGAGCAGTAGAAAAATTGTTCCCTAAAGAGATTTCTGAGCTAGTCAATAAACAGTGACTGTGTCAAAAAATAGGTCTGAATAGTCACTATTCTTATAATAATTGTATAATAATAAGGAAAAACTTATTATAATAAAAATCGGGATGGTATAGTTGTCACTAAAAATATTCTTTTTCTTAAAACATACTACAGTAGAGTAAGATGACGTAAGATAATCGGCAATGGTTGCCTTCAAAAAAAAAGAAAATCCACGTTTAATTTATGAACACGATGAATATCCACTGATGTTGTCCTAATTACTCTAAGTAAACGCATTCAAAATGAATCTTATAACTAGATTACACTGTTGTATTTCGTAGTAAGAATAGAGAAAGATAGTGGTTGTTTTCATCATTTGTACAGTTTCTGTTTATGTTTTTGAAAATGACCGATTAAAGGTCGAAATATCAACAAATAAAGGTATGAAGTTCAAAACAGCTGCAATTATTATTATATTTTAGATTACACTAGCTAATTAATAAAAGTAAAGCCAAAATATTTCATTTTTCCCCGACATATTTAGTTCCTCACGATCTGATTCATCGTTCAATGTAGTTTATATTGGTAAAAAAAGTTATAGCTGTTAGTCCGTCGACTATTTGTTATTCTGTACTATACTATATCTGTAGAACAGATAAAAATATTATTGTAAAATGTATTAGAATTATATACAAGTGTTCGGATGTTAATGAGAATGCTGGAAATGATAGAATGGTGGTGTTCTATGCGTGAGACTTTCTGTTATAAAATTTCTCCTTTCTTTATAATGACATTGAGTTTTTCAAATCAAGACAATTAGTTACTATCAATGTCTAAATGAGAAGAAGATGGATGTCTCACTCTTTTTTTTTGTAGCTGTTTAATTCTTTTCTTTTCGAAGATGTTACATTATAGATCACTTATGAAAAAATTCAATGCCTCTTTTCCACAGGACAAAGTAGAAAGTAATTCTAAATAATAAAAAAAATAAAAATGCTAAAGAATATAATTCTGTTTGTCTATCTATTACCGCGTTTTTCTACACTACATTTTTAAAAATAAAATGTTGCGTT